AAAAAAAAAAAAAAAAAAAAAAAAAAAAAAAAAAAAAAAAAAAAAATTCAAACTGATAATATGCTAATCTTATCTACTAAAAAAGTTCCTTTCATGTTTAAAAGGTATAGAGGTCCAGTTATTCAAGATAAAAAGTTCTGGAGATTGGTTGCTCAACAGTGTTGAACATACCTAACTTTACAGAGCTGTACACCTAAAAATGGTTTCGATGGTGATTTCATGATATGTGTATTTAGCCACACTTTTTTTTCTTTCTACAGATAGAGTAAAAGGTCAGGCTGGCTTCAAACTCCCGGGCTCTAGTGAACCTCCTGTCTCAGTCTCCAGAGTATTTGGGACTACAGGTGAGCACAACGGCGCCTGGCAAACCATGATTTTTAAGTTCCTTGACATTAAACAAAATGTAATGTTTCAAATAAAGAAAAAGATCTGACTTCACTTGTGCAATGGAAAGTAACTCACTGGCCAAGTAGAGGCCTCTGGAGTTGTGTTTTCACTGGGGTGGCTCTAGAACGAACCTGTTGATTTTGGTGCTCAGTGCACTGGACCTGGCGTGGGATGGAGGTGAAGCACTGGAGGTGCCCCTGGCTTACACTAGAACCAGAAGGTTGGGCCAGTCCAGCAGTGCGAGTCAGATTTCTCCCAAATGTTCCTGTTTTCTTACTGTCTAAGGCTCTCAGGAGTGTGAATTCACCCTTTTCCCCACTCTCATTCTTTAGGGTCCATTTTCAAAATGACATCCATCCATGCCTGTCTTGTTTCCTAATGTACTTTTTGTAAGCTCTTCACACTACTGGAGCACTGGCGTTACTTGTTAGACAGCCTTCCACAACCTAGCTCTTTTCCAAGTGAGTCCCACATAAATGGCCCTGAAACCACCTTTCTGCCCACCCAAAACCAAAACAAATGAGGAAGTAACAGCCAGATTTAGTTTTTTGTTTGTTTTTTGAGACGGTGTCTCCTACTGTCCCCTGGGCTGGAGTGCAGTAGCGTGATCTTGGCTCACTGCAACCTCTGCCTCTTTAGTTCAAGCCATTCTCCTGGCTCAGCCTCCTGAGTAGCTGGGATTACAGGCACCTGCCACCACGCCCAGCGAATTTTGTATGTTTTTTTAGTAGAGATGAGGTTTCACCATGTTGGCCAGGCTGGTCTCAAACTCCTGACCTCGTGATTTGCCCACCTCAACCTCCCAAAGTGCTGGAATTACAGGTATGAGCCACCACACCCGGCCTAGTTGTTGTTGTTTTTTTTTTTTTAATGAACTATATTTTAAAATATTTTTTAATTTTTTATTTAAGAAGTAGAGACAGAGTCACACTACGTTGTCCAGGTTGGTCTCGAACTCCTGGCCTCAAGTGATCCTCCTGCCTTGACCTCCCAAAGTGCTGGAATTACAGTCATGAGTCACCCTTCCTGGCCAGAGTTTGGGGTTTTTGACTCCTCTTTTCTTCCTCTAGGGACCCTAGAACCACTGTTTCCTCTGGAGCTAAATTTTAATAATATGAGTTGGCACATAGTTGAGAATTAAACCACCAATTGAATAAGCTTCATAGTTATATTGGTTACTGAGTGATGGGTGTTTAGGAAACTATAGAGGAACTACGCAGAAAAGGCTGGGCACAGTAGCTCACACCTATAATCCCAGCATTTTGGGAGGCTGAGTAGGGAGGATTGCTTGAGTCTGAGAGTTTAAGACTAGCCTCGGTAATGTAGGGAGATCCTGTCTGTAGTAATAAATTTTAAAATTGGCTGGGTGTGGTGGTGCACACCGTGGTCCCAGCTACTGGGGAAGCTGAGGTGGGAGGATCGCTTGGGCCCAGGAGATTGAAGCAACAGTGAGCTGTAATTGCACTGCTGCTCTCCAGCCTGGGTGACAAAGAGAGACCCTGTCTCCTCCCCCCCAAAATAAATAAATAAAATATCTGTAGGAAAATAATGTTATTGCTAATATATGACTCATTTAGCCTTAAACTTCCTTTTCTTATGGAAACAATTATGATTTTGCATTAAGGTTTTTTGTTGAGGAATGTGGCCATCATATCATAACTGCCTGTATACAGGAGATGACATGAAATGAATGAACCGTTTTCTTACATTTTCCTTTGTAGGGAAGATGGAAGAGTTGAGCCGAGCCCTGGCTAGTAGCTTTTCTGTGTCTCAAGATCTGAACAGCACAGCTGCCCCACACCCCCGCCTGTCCCAGTACAAGTCCAAGTTCAGTTCCTTGGAGCAGAGTGAGCGCCGCCAGCGATTACTGGAACTGCAGAAATCGTAAGGCAGCTTTAACTCCTTGGCTTCATTCTCTGGGCTAGGAGCTGTGAACCATTCAGGAGGCTCTAGGCTTGTCTGCAGAGTCCCCTTCAAAGTAGACCCTTTGTAGGCTGATCTTCTTGCCCACAAGGTTGGGAGGGGTAAATCCTGGCAGAGGTAGGTTTTTCTTTTATACCCAGAGCTTAGGAAAGGATGAGGAAGTAGGGAGGACCAAGGTTTGAAAGCAAAAACTCAATTATTCGGTTAAGTTCTTCCTTTTTTCCTGGCAGCAGTACTGAGCCCTGTGGTTCAGGAACTTGTGAAAGCCACGCCCAGACTTTCACTCCCCACATTCCCTGGGATGCTTGTGTGTGGCTCCTGCACTCTGAATGCTGGGATTGCTGTAGTCTTCCCATCTGCCTTCACTCTTGGGAGTTGAAGACAAATAATTCCTAAGGGAATCTGAGGAAATGTCTTCCATACACTTAATTCTAAGTGCCAAGATGTGCAGACAGGGAAAGAGAGCAGGATAAGAGTGTTTGGGGCTGAGCTGCTCCGAAGGCAGGACTGATCCTTACATTCCCAGTGCAGCATGGGCCTCTTCCGGGTCATAAATTAAGGAATTAGGGATCAGAAGACATGACTAACAGCTGCATCATTTCCATACAGTCTACATTTTGCCCAGTGTTGCATCACTGGATGTGTTTGGCAGAGATGGTTTCCTGTGACTCTGGGTGTCTTGCAGAATATATTCCCAGATGATTCTTCCTCTCCCCATTTAAAAAAATGTCATTAGTTATTTTCGAATAGTTAATACAGTCATAAGCTTGAAAATTTTAAATGTAAAGAAGAGTGCTGGTACAGTGGCTCACACCTGTCATCCAGCACTTTTGGTGGCTGAGGCGGGTGGATCACCTTAGGTCAGGAGTTCAAGACCAGCCTGACCAACAAGGCAAAACCCTGTCTCTACAAAAAATACAAAAATTAGCCCAGCATTGTGGCTAGCACCTGTAGTTGCAGTTACTTGGGAATTTGCCCTCGCAAAGGGCTGGGATTACAGGCAGGAGCCACTGTGCCTGGCATTTTTTTTTTTTTTTTTTTTT